GGGTGTTGGTAGCAGTCCGGTTGAAATGTTAGCTGCTCCTCTTGCAGTGGCTGATGAATTGCACCTGAAGTGGTGATCTTTAGAAGGGTATAGTTTTCCTCTGAAGATCTGGTGGCAGTGGGGCCGGTCTTCCTCTGCGCCGGGGTTGCCTCCGAGCTCCGCCGCCGCCGCCTCAGCGCGCTCCAGCTGCTTCTCTGGGAGTCCTGCCGAAGGAGCTGCTTCTCTGGGAAATCCCGCAAAAAAAGAGCTGCTCTGTCCCCCAAAAGGTACCACTTTATACAATAAAAGAGTGCTTGGCTTCCCCCTCTGGGTGGAGCATCTCACAATGGGATGGTGTAACGTTACCAGCCCTGCAGTGAGTCAGTCAATGGCCCATTAACAAACCATTACCTCTTCGGAGCAAACCATTGTTCTTGGAAGAGATAACAAACCTGCCCAACCTCCAACAGATGGAAAATAGAATACAAGCTTATCTTACAAACCAGGACACTCAGCCTGGACCTCATGCCTTATGTTAAAGGGCAGCAATGGTTAAAGTGCTCATAATGAGTCTTTTGGCTGAGGACTTGATTATATCAAGCAGAGGAGCAGGAGCTAACTGATATTCCTGCCACCCTCCTTGTCCTCCATGCTGCAGATCCCTGTTCTTTTTTACAGTATGCTGCAGGGTCTGAGCATGGTCTGCATGTTCACTGGTGCTGCTTGCATGCACACAGAGCCCCACACTCTGCCTTAGGTCAGTGGTATGGTCCCAGCTGCAGCCTCACTTTGTTCCCTCTGTTATGCCCAAGGTCAACCTGTATCTCCCTTGTGTCCCAGCAAGTGCCTTTGGCAGCATTGTGGGACTATGCTGGCAGACTGGAAGCATGAGCTTTCCAGGGCAAAATATCCTGGACAGTCCTTGGCAAGTCCTTGATGGGTGTTGCCAGATGGAAACAGAATCTTTTTTGCTTGGTGACTCCTCAAGTATCAAGAGTATCTTCTCTTTTCTGTGATAGTAATGTATTGAAAATTGTGAATAAAATGAAATTTGCTTTCTATTGCTAAGGAAGTCCTGGGCTGTGTAACCAATGCAAAACTCTTCCTCATCATGGCTTTAAAGGAATCAGGTTTGCCCTTTCTAAAAAAAGAATTAGGGTTTCTCAGAGAGATGGAAAATTCAGTCAGTTGCAGAAACAAGATGTATCCACCTCTTCAAGGGAAATCTAAATCCTGTGTCATCATCCATCCTATTTTTATCCACTAGCACCAGCTGCTGGATATTGGTGGAAACAGAAAAACTAACAGAAATCGGAAAACTGGTTTTAAAAGCTGCTGGAAATATAGTGATGGAGCCACTGCCTCCTTCCAGCTCTCACAGCTGGGTACCTCAGCCCTGGGCCTGCTGAACCCCCAAGGGTTGTGTTAGGACCACTTTGGCAAAATGTCTAAGGCAGAGAGGTCAGTCTGCGATGTTTAAAAAAGTCCAGACGTGCCAGATGTGCCCTTCCCCTGTTCTCTTTCCTTAGCCATGTCTGGACATCTTGGCTGGAGACACCCCCACGCATTTCTCGGGGGACACAGCCGTGCCAAAGGGACTCTGGGGGGGGCCGGGGATTATTTGGGAGCTTTCCCCAAGCCTGGGATGGGAGGGCAGCTGGCAGCCAGCCACCGCTGCACATCCGCCTCGGCTGGGAACCGGAGGCTGACGGCTCTGCGAGAGTCGTTTGCAACGCCCCAGAGTTCCCCGAGGGCTTCCTCTGCTCGGCTCACAGGGAAAAGCTCTGCGCTATCAGCCGCGGCAGCACACTGGGGTTGTGCCGTGTCCTTCTGCACGGCCACAGCCCGATTTGTCCCCCATCTCGAGGGACATGTTACACAGAGCATAGCACCAGGTTTGCAGGCACAATACTGCTGTAGACTGCCAGGGAGGTGGGCTGGGACAGTCGCCAGCCCCAGGCACTCTGCTGCCCTCAGCCTTGTTGTCTTTTTCAGTGAAACCTCCCTACGGGAGGGTAGCTGCTGGGTGAGACAAAACGCACCAGTTTGACGCAAGACAGAAGACAGAGTCAAGCCCTGCTTCCCCACAGAAACCCTTTATTTTACATCTGGTGAATTTGCCTAAGAAAGCATGAACTTCTGGGCTGAGAGCTGTTCAAGTGCAGCATGTTGGTGTGGGCAAAGTCTGCCTAGGCACTCCTTGCCATCCTGAGCCTGCTGGATTTTCCCACTTGCTGTTACTTTATCCGTGTGAAGGTGCTGGTGCCAATCCTGCAGAAAACACCAAATCAGATGGGGTCATGCATGCTGTGGGGGGTAGAGGAGAAACCCAAGGAGAGCATTGTGTGGCTGACTGAGGTACTACAGGTTCCAACAGCCTGCAGGCAGAGGCAGTGCTGGCATCTTTTCCTTCTCCCTCTGCTGTGGAGAGTAAAAACAAGGTCCCAGACAGGGCTCTCTGTGGCCAGAGCCTATGCAGGGATCTCCCACCGTGAGGCACGTCTGGCATGCAGGGGTGGACTATGTTACATGGATGTTCCATAGCCCTTACATATCACTGGGGACAAACCCATTCCACCCTCACCATCCTCCCATGCTTCACCCTGTGGGGTCTCTCCCTTCTCCAGCCTGAATGGCAGAAGACCCTGGCAGAGCAGGGCTGGGACACAGCACTCACCGGATGGCCTTCCAGTCTTCTTCAGGACTGTTTGCTGCCTCTCGCAGGAGCCACAGGGCATGCAGGGTCTCCTCCCCGTTGCTGTCCACATAGCACTGGCCCAGGAAGACACTTGTCTGGGCCATCTCTGAGTCTGGAAGGGTTTAAGGTGATGTGAGTCAGGTAGCGAGGCACAAGGTCACCCTGTGTCTTGCTGGCATCCCCACCCACTGGATGATAGCCCCTGGTGCCTACCTTGGAGTCTCCAGTTCACAGTGAAGGAGAAGGTGGGCTGTGGGACCAGCCTTGTATCTTGCTGGGACCCCTCCAGTGGTGACGTGAGGAGTTCCGAGTAGCCAGCAGCAGGTCCCGGCAGGTAAAAACCAGAGAATCTGTTGTCCTTGTCCAGGGTGGACACAACCATCCGGCAGCTGGTGTCACTCCGCCACGACCCGGAGAGAAGGCACTGCAAGGCCATTACTGTGGGTTGGAGGGAGGGAGGAGGGGGAGAATCCTGCTCCCATCCCTTCACCCTGGCTCTGTCCAGAGATGTCTGCAGCAGTGGATGGTGTATCACAGACTTCACCATCTCAGTGTGAGCATCATGCCTGAGCTATGATTGCATTCAGCTCAGCCACTGTCCAGGGTGGTTTCAGCTATCCAAGGGAGAGTGAGTCCCCCCCATGCTGAAGCAGCAACTGTGCTACTTTCCCTACACTCTGGGGGGAGAAGTCAGGAGCTGTCTGGGATATGGCTCTGTTTGCCTTCCTCTGAATGACTTCCTGCAGCAAGAAGTGTCCTTGCAGGAGCAGTCCCTTCTTCCCAACCTCATTGCAGCTTCCCTCAGCACTGCACAGTGCTGTTCCCACCAGCTCCAGCAGCCCAGCCCTGGCTCCCTGTTGAGCTATGATGCCCCAGCAGCAAGCTTTGGGATCTAGCAGGATGTCAGCACCACATCCCCACTGTCATCTGTCCCCATACCTTCCTCTCCATAGGGGCAACACACACTGCCAGTGCAAGGGCGAGAACCAGGGTAAAAGCACTTCTCATGGCTGCAAGGCTGCTAAGAGCTCCCCCTTGCCCTGGAGCCTGGCGCCCTTTATAGGGCTGTAACTGGAGCCCCACCAGCACCAGGATGGCAGCTGTGAGATTAATGGCTTGATGTCAGGATGCCCTGGACAGGCAAGGGAGATGAGGAGGTCTGCATGACCTGGTCAGGGCTGAAGGAATGAAGGAATAAGCACGGCTGGGCAGAGGAGTGGGGACACTACTTTTTTATAAGGCTCTATAGTAGCCTGGAAAGCATCAATACCTTCTTTGGGAATTTGCCTCCCATGCACAACGGCTGGAAACTACCACCTATTTCAGCATTTACCCCCTCCCTCTTTTGCTGCTGCCACTGCTTGATGAGGATGCTGCAGCATTGCGCAAAGGGAAAGTTTACTAATTTTAGAAGCAGTAACATTTCTCCAGCCTCTTCTGGATATCAGCTACTGATTTTGATGCTTTTGCTTTTACTTTTGTATAAGCTAGAGGAAGAAGTAACTGCAGCAACATTACTGAGGTCCCAGCAAGTGTGTTTGGTAAACACACAGAGCATGATAACCAGAATTGTATTCACACTTCTTCCTTGTATTGGCTGCTTTAAAGGACCTTTGATGTGAAAAATGCATCATGCACAGTCCATGCCTTCCTGAGCCATGCTTTTGCTGTGGTGCCTGGAGCAGGCATATGGCTGTGGCAGCTGAAAATTCAGGTGGGATTCAGCTGAATCAACATCTGCTGGTTTCCAAGACAGCAGTGTTTGGGGCAGGGCATGGCAACAGGGCTGCAGTGTGCAAACTGGGGCCAAGGGAGTGCCCCTTTTGGGGTAGCACCTCTCAATGCCCACTGCTAGCCTGGCACATTCTGTGCTCAGCACTTCACTCTGTTGTTTAGGTAATGGGAGGGGAGGGGAGAGGAGGGGAGGGGAGGGGAACATTAACTTGTGCACATTTTACTTGAGGTGACATAGAGAACAAAGTTAGTCAACATCTCAAATTGCACCTCCAACACCTCCATTGCCCAATCCGACAGAGCATGGAGTGCCAGTAGTAGAAAGGGTCTGGTGGGAATGGATATGAAGGCATTGCAAGGAAGTGAGCTGAATTCAGGATGCTGCTGCTAGCCCTGCCACCATCAGGCAGGTGGGGAATGATGACACAGGGTGGAAGTTTGGGTTTAGATGAGATGGGAAATGAGCCCAGGGAGGCAGATGGGTGGGATCAGGGAGAGATGCAGAAGTCCTTGCAGAAGTGCAGTTGTGAGGGGTATCTTTGGGGACAGAAGGTGTAGCAAGGACAGACTTTAAGAAAAGACAATCATAGCTGATGATTTAAAAATTTTATTCTCAACTGGGAGGCAGGTGTTTCTTGCCTTACTGGGGGATTAGGCTGCAGCCAAACTATCACATCATGGGGCTGGTGAAGACACAGCCTCACAGGGAGGGGACAAGTTCGACAGGATCTTTCCTTTTGTGGTGCGTTTGCGTGTGAAGACATTTCTGCCGACCCTGTGAGAAGTTGAGAGTTCCAGTAGGATGACCCACAGACACTGCCTGCTCAGAGCTGCCAGTTCTCGCAGCAGTGATGGGGTGTCCCTGAATTCCCCCCAGGTTTCCTCAAGTAAGGACCCCTCTGTGGGATTAGTGTCATCCATATCCCCTCACTACCTCGTGGCTTTCCAGTCCTCCTCAAGGGACCCAACAGCTTCACGCAGCAGCCACATGGTGCTCAGTGTCTCCTTTCCACCTGCATCCACAAAGCATTGCCCCACGAAGGCGGTGCTGGCATCTGGGAGGAAGCACTTATTGGTAGATCCATGGAGAAACTGCCTGCTTCCCCTTCCCCACAGTCCTCCCAGACACAGCTCCCAGAAGCTGTGTTCCTGCTTCAATGGCCACACAACCACCAAACCCATGCTGGGGGGTCCTGCCCTTCCCTGTGGCTCCCTCAGGTAAAGCAGGATTTGTAGCACAACATCCCAGTTGTGCTAACAGGGTCTGGACCCACTGTGGTTGCTCCAAGGATACTGGGTGAAGAGGGGCTCCCCTGTTCAAGCCCAGCATTGCCCCACAGCACCATGCTGTACAGGTGCTGCTTCTTAGCTGCACCAAAGCACCACCCAGCTGAATTCCTGGTGAAAGAAAATTCCTGCTGGCTGCATGCATGGCTTCCATCGACACTGCTGTACCATCCCCACATATCCCAGCACTTACTGGAGAACTTGTCCCAGCGCACAGTGAAGGCAAAGGTGGGCCAGCCCTCCTCTCCAATCTGCTGCTGGGTACCCCTCAGCGGGGAGATTTGGGCACAGCCCCCGGAGAGGGTGACTCTTGTGAGGTATTGTCCCTGGAAGTCCCCATTGTCCCTCAACACCAAAATCTCCATCAGTGAGTCCTGGTCATTCCTCCACAGTCCGCTGAGCTGGCACTGAAGGAATACAGCCACATACTCTCTGTCCCCACCCCATCCCTGCTGCTGCCCCACACCAGGGGAGCCAGAAGCCCTCTGTGGGTGCAGCTGCAGGGCATTGGCTGTCCCTGATCCCAGTTTGAGGAAATGCTGCCCCAGGGTGCTGCTGAGAAGATGGTGGAGCAAGGCCAGAATATCCCAGCCCTGCAGCATGCACGGTACACCCAGACACAGACCCAGACATCGCAGGTCCATGCACACATGCATGGTGTTCCCAGGCACAAACCCCAAGGCAAGGAATGCCCTGTGCATGGCTCCCTCATGGGAACAAATCTTTCTGGAGGTGATATCAGGTGGCTGAGGGTGATCCAGGGATACCTTGCCCTCTGCCTGGACTTGGTTCTTGCAAGGCTCTCTTGTTTAAGCCTAAAATGGCATTTAAGGGAGAACTCCTGGCTGCTCACACTGCATCCCATTGCCATGTCTGCCACGCTCCCATTGTCACCCATCCCCGTACCTTCCTCTCTGCAGGAGCAACACTCTCTGCCAGAGCCACAGCAAGGGCGAGGACCAGGATGAAAGCACCGCCCCACATGGCTTCGGGCTGTGAAATGCCCAGCCCATCTCCCTCTCTGCTCTGCATCCCAAACCCCTTTATAGAGCTGTAACCAGAGCCATGACGGCTGGCAGCTGCAGCTTGAGTGTCCTGATGTCAGCGTGCCCAGGCCAGGTGAGGTGAGGAGGTCTGCCTGACCTGGGCAGCGCTGAAGGAATGTGGGGACAAGCACGGCTGTGCAGGGAGGTGGGGATGCAGGAATGATTTACACATCCACTGTCCAAGAGGCTCTGCCGACCCCATTCCTTGCTCAATGGGGGCTCATCCCCTGTCACCATCCCCTCCTGCACTGTGTCTGCTGCTCTTTCTAAACTATTTTTCATCCTGGCTGTGCTGGGCTTTCCTCGGGTTTGGGACCTAAGACTGTCACTGCAGCACAAACTCTTGAATCAGCCATTCTTGCAAGTGCGGAAGGGCTTTTCTGGAAGATATGCAGAAGTTAAAATTTGCTTATTCCTGTGGGAGGGTATGTTCTGTGCATGCTGCCTTCCTAGACACTGTGGGAGGCGATGCCATATGCATGATGCTCTGAGGCTGGGCAGGGCCCTGTCTGATGCTTCCCAAGGAGTTCCTGGTTGTGCAAGACTGTAATGGGGGTGCTCAGACTGCCTGGCATTTGCACAGGGACACAGCACAGACACAGCCTCTAAAATACCACTCTAACCAGGTAAACATATCACTGAAGGGGAAGATAGAAGTGGCATCTGGCTGTGTCCAGGACATGAGGTACCTCTCTGACCCCTGCCCAAGCACAAGGGGTGAGATCTGCTTTGAAAATCCTTCTCATCTTTCCTGGGCCTGAAGACAAGGAAACCCATTCTCCTCTTCCTCAGGGAGCATGATCCTACGTTCAGATTGCACTTAGCTTTTAATAAAAAAAATTATAGGCCTGAGTTTAATTCCCATCCTGTGGACTTCCTGCAAAAGCCCTTGGGATCCTGACATTGCTCTCCCTTGCTTGCTGCCCAGCTGGCTCCCAGCACCCAGGACTTGGCACTCCCCCGTGGGCTCTATGCAACCCCCACAGGGGCAGCACCAGCACAGAGCAAGGATGGACAAGTGCCCTGCAGCCCTCCCACTAGCTTTGCAGTCATCCTTGAACATGTCAGCCTCATCTTGCATGATCCATGTGGTCCTTCAGTATTTTCTTTCTCTCCTCATCTGTGAAGCTTTGGCCCATGGCGGTGGTCATGGAGTCTGCAGTCTGTGAAGAGATGGGATGAGATGCTGTTGGGATGGGATGGGATGGGATGGGATGGGATGGGATGGGATGGGATGGGATGGGATGGGATGGGATGGGATGGAGCTGTCCCTCTTAGGCACCCAATCTGTCAGTGGGAAAGGTTGCTTGTAGGTGGGAGATGTTTTCCCTCCCCAGCTTCATGTCTTGCTGGGACCTTGAACAGGTATGGGATATGCAGGGCATGGTGGCATGAGCCTAGCTGAGCCGGACATCACAGGAAGGGCAGAGATACTCCAAGGACATCTCAGTGGACACTAGAGGAGCTCTGGAATACAAGAGGGAGGCTGGGAAAGGAGAAGCACGTGAAAAACTCTAGGTGACAGGTGAAGGTGGGCTGGCTCTTCTAGTTCATTGAGTGTGTCACCTGCAGTGGTGACACCCAGACCTTGTTCATGGTGTGTGACAGCAGGCATGAAGTTGCCTTTTCTGTTCACAGCCAAGATGGTTACATTGGAGCCGAGGTCAATGACCCACTGCCTGGTCAGGGTGCAGTGCAGTGGAGGGGACTCAGCTCTGGTGCCACAGCAGAGCCTGGGTGGGGCAGGGTGGCAGGAGTAATCCTATGAACCAGGTAGGACGAACTGAACAAGCTGCAGGTGCCTCATCCACACAAGGGGTTATACTGACAAAGTTGATGAGATCATCTGTAGGATAGGGAGGCAGAACACATATGGGAGGGTGCCCTTGTTCCAAACCAGACCCAGGAAGGGCTGAGAATATAACTAAGGAGCTCCTCCATTCTCTCAGGATGGCAGTCTGTGGTTGGCAAGGCTACAGCTGGAACAAGGCCATGGAGAGAGGCAGAAGAGCAGAGCAAAATGTGGGGTCCTGACCAGAGGATCACACAGAAGTGGTGAAGGGGATGGGAGCTATGTGTTTTCACTCATCAGTGAAGTTATGGCTTGAAAATCAAATTTAATCTTTTGTCATTGCTGCAGAGTGGAGGGGTACCAGGTTTTGGTACACCCAACTCCACCAACCATGCAGTGCCTTGAGCGACCTGGGAATTTCCTGCCTCTTCTGCTTAGGTGGGTCAACAGCTGCACTGATGGAGATGTTGGGCACTAAGATGTTCCGTGTTGAGAAATTTGTCAACGGTTGACAGGAGCAGTCCCCACAGAAACAGTTGCATAGGACAGTTTTCCACATGTGGTTAAGACATGTAAGTGCTGGAGAATCCCTGCAGTTGAAGCTTCTTCTCCATTCTAACAGTGACTTCAGTGCATTTGATCCTTATGCAAGCATCACCCCATGCCAAGATCCTATTAACTTCATTTTTTCTTAACTGATACACTATGTGTGTGAACAGCTGTTCCACATAGACATATCCATGTGATTTTAGGTGGCTCCTGCCTCCACCAGCTCCCCCTGCCCCTGGAGGCATTCACAATGTGTGAATGACCCTGATCAAGTCTTGTCATGCAGCAGAAACAGCGGGTTTTCCTGCAGTGGGGCTGAAGGGGAAGTCCTGCTCACACTTGCAGAGCTAGAAGGAAACAAATGGTGCTGGATTTGCAGACCAGCACTGTGAGCAGGTTTGCAACTGAATAAACCCAGAGCTGAGGGCTGCCAAATGTCCACGGAGAAACATTCCCATCCTCAACCACTCCCAGACACCTGCAGGTACCCGCAGGTCCAATCACCTGTCACCTCAAACCTGAGGAGTGCCAGGGATGCAGTGCAGCCTACCTGGGTGCCCTCATGTAGGGACTGGCCTTGGAAATAATTCTGACAGCTCTTGTCTGTCGTGCTCCTCACCAGCACTGTGGCTGCCTGCTGGGGTTTGCAGGATGCTCCAACTGTGGTCAGCACTGCTGCCTTGCTGAGAAGCACTCTGGGAATGCTGCACAGCTTTGGGAGACCCCTGCCCTGGGGAAATGTTGGCAATAATGAGGGCAGGAGAATGCATGCAGTGAGGCTGGAGGCTTAGCGGGTTGCCTCACTGCTGAGTTGGTCATGCTTCAAATGAGATCAGAGTCCTGTGATGCCCTCTCACACCCCTCACTTTCCTGGGTCTCAGACTTGTCACCCTGTTCTTTTGGGAGTTTTAAAGTTCTCCTTAAAGTTTCTTATGCCTTCTGAATGTTTACATATTTCATCTGAATTTCCTGATTAATGTTCATGTAAATAATGACTGTTTTGCACTCTTCTTTGTGGGTGGAGAGAATTCATGGACTGTTGGTTTGACCAGTGTGGTTGGAGAGGTGGTGATTTCACCCTCCAATCCACTGTCATTTTGCTATGCTATATATATAGTGGAGTCAGAAAATAAAGTTTACTTTTGGGGTTCTTTTCTTTCCCTTTTTGTATCTAGCATTCATGTGTGAGTTATATGCTGTCGTAGTGTAACAAAAACTCCTCTAAAAGCATGTAAAAAGCTGTGCAGATATAAAAATGCATAACAGAGGGTTGGTGTAAAGATATCCTGGTCAGAAATGCTGTAAGGGAACTGAAAAAGCTGGAGAAATGCCAGCAAGGCACGGAGAAGGGAACAGCAGCACTGCTCTGGAAACAGAACATGAGCCCCAGGAAAGAAAGACCTGAGAAGCAAACCACATGTGAGTTTGCAACAGGGCAGGCAAAAACACAGAGCAGGCAAACTTGCTAAAGCCATAGGTGCTGTTAGCAGAGCTCTTCCACCTACAGCATTTGTGGCAGAAAAGCCAGGGGAGCAGAGGGGAGGGGCAGCCCCAGCAGCTCAGTCCTAATTTAAGTTCATCAAATCCCAGGCAGTATGCCAGCTCAGGCCATGCAGCACTGTCCCGGGTTATTTTGAGACTCAAAGGCACAAGGACTAAGTTTCAGATTCAGACCCAGAGCTGATTTCCTTGAAATCATTTTCTTTGGCTTAGAGGGGGTGCCTAGGGCAGCACAGGCGCTTCCTGTTTTGGTCAGTCACATAGTCCATTGGGCAGAGATTTGAGAGGCTGTATTTGCTGGTCATTAACTGTTCAGTAAATCGCATTTCCAGGAAGATTCCAGGAAGCCCCCTCACCTGCCTGCTTAAGGGCTGTGTCAGTGCCAGGGGCCTCCCAGCCCAGTTTCTGTGATGCAGAAGAACTCCCCAGCTTACCCTCCCAGCACACTCACCAGTCTTTCAGCAGGAAAGAGTGAGTGCTGGTCACAGTGTCAGAGGGTTACTTTGGGGATGCACCATCCTCTTTGGACTGGAAAACAGGCTTTCTTGCAGCCAGTCTCTTCCCAGAATAAGGGAATGAGAGTTTCATCCCACACCCACCCTCCACCATGTTTTTGCCCAGCTTTTCCAGGATATATCCACAGACTGCACAAGGTTGTGTTTACACATCTTTAATTTTATTTGGTTTTTTTTGAGACATCTTCCTCCAGAGCTGGAAACATCAGAGCAGGCTGGTACACACTGATTGTGCTGAAGGGACTCCTGTCTCCTGAGTGTGTCCAGGATAAGATGCTTCTCCCCCTCTTTCAGTCCATTCGAGTGAAAGTGTTGTGGCCGGTCCTGTGGGGAAGCAGGAGCCCATTGGTGCCCAGCCAGCAGCAGGGTGGGGACCCCAGATGGGTACCTTGGTTCACCTGGTGGCTTTCCAGTTATCTGACTCCCAGCCGACTTTCTCCCGCAGCAGCCAGGAGGTGTGCAGGACCTCCTTCCCATCATCCCTATTGAAGCACTGGCCCACGAAGACGGCTGTGGAGTCTAAAGCAGTGGTGGCTGTTAGCATCCCAATAGGACCCTAGCTGATTTTGGAGCTTCACAGGCATCAGTGGGTTTAGTGCTCATGGAACTCGAGCAGATCCTGATATTTGCAGGGAAATGCTGTGTGGCAGAGGTGTTGTCAAAGCAACCCTTGGTGCTGCCTCACCCAAACTAGTTTTGGGAGGTGTACTGCTGTCTGCAGACACCATCCAGAGTGGAGAGAGATCAGGGAAGGACAGACAAGGGACAGCAGAGAGAACAGAGGAATTGGGATGAGCACTAGGACCTGCCTGAGCTCTCCTCTCCATCCCACCATTCCATCCAACAACAGCCATCATGCAGCTACAGACCTGAGAACTTCTTCCAGTTGACAGTGAAGCCAAAGGTGCACTGTCCGTCCTCATCCAGGTGCTGGGAGCCAGTCAGTGGGGACAGCTGGATGGGTTTCTTGGTGCTTGACACAGCGGTATGGTACTCGCCAGAGAAGGTTCCGTCCTTGCCAACCTTGAACACTTGCATCTTGGAGCCCAGATCATTCTCCCACCAGCCAGTCAGGTTGCATGGCTGGGGATAAGCAGATGTGTCCCTGGGGGCTGTCTGTACACAGCCCTTACAGGCTGAGCCCCCTGCCCAAAACCCCCAGTGCCTATGGGGTTCTGGCACTCACCTTGATATGTCTTCTGCTTTCCCCTAGGCAGCTCATGGTTGCCTTATCCTTTTTCTTGCTGGTCTTTTTCTCCCCGGGGTGCTCATCTCCTTGGCAGAGGAGCTTGGAAAAGAACACAAAAAAGGTCAGGCTGTGGATGGTGTCACAGCAGAGTGTTCCTGGTGTCCTGAGAGTGCTCAAGCATTCATTTTTAAAAGACATGATTCATAAAGTTGCTGCTATCTCAGCTACGTCAAGAGGTTTAAAAGCTGGGGTAAGCCAAGCAAAGGGATTGAAAGGTGGGAGACCTGGACAGTCAGGAACATGGCTGGGACCCCTCCTGTAGCCCTGGCAAGTGAGTTGTGTGAATCCAGGGCAGATCTGCCCGTGTTTGTGGGTACCTGTGCTGCGACCTGGACACGCGTAGCACGACAGCGCTATGCTTATGGGATGGGCATTGCCCTGAGGTCCACAGCGGGCTCCGTCTCTGCTAGAGCCCTCCCTGCACATCCCACCTGCAGTCCTAAGTGCTGCCTCAGCGCTCCCACACTGCGCCGTCCGAGAGAGCGACAGCGGCAAGTCACACCCTGGGGCAGGGTCCCCATGCTTCCCCTGCCCCAGTTCTCCTCCAGGTATTTAGGAGGGAAGTGGGACGCATGGCCCCTGCAACAGGGAAGGAATCTCCATCACACCACATCACGCCCGGGCATACGGACAACTCTGGAGCATCACTTCCCTCGTCTCCCTAGGCAGGGTTTCCCGTCTGGATACCCGCTGGAGAAGGGGATTCTCCTGTTGCCAAGTATGCCCCCCGCAGAGGGGTCTTTCACGCGTGTCCCACCCCTAACAAGTGCTGGAACTCCCATATCATTCCACCCCTCCGGCGAGTCTCCCACTCCTGTTTCTCCCCGAACGCCGGGATCCCCAGGCGTGCTCCCACCCAGACTTCCTCGGAGCCGAGTTTCCCACGCGTGTTTCCCAGCAGGAGCTCCCACCTGGAAGCCTGCCGAAGCCGCTGCCACGGACACCCCTGCAGTCAGGGCGAGAACGGAGAGGACGCGGCGGCTCATCGGGAAAGCAGCTCGGGATGCAGCGGCGGCAAGGAATCACTGCCACGCCGCTCCAGTGACTCACATGCTTTTATTCTTCGGCTCCGCCACTGCTTTCCGGGAAAGCCCCGAGCGGTACCTGAAGGAGGGACTGGTGCTGGGACAATAAAGGGAAAGGAGACAGGGACGGGGGTGGGGGGGGAGGCGGGGGGAGAGGGGTAAGAACGGGGATGGGGACAGGGCTGGGGATGAAGACAGGAAGAGGTTGTGGTGGGATAGGGAAGGCAACTGGGGTGGGGACAGGGGCAAAGATGAGAGATGTGGGATGTGCACATGAATGGGGATGGGAACGGGGGCAGGGATGGGGATGGGAACGGGGGCAGGGATGGGGATGGAAGCAAGGGTGGGAGGGATGGGGATGGGGCAGGGATGGGAGGCAGGGATGGAGATAGTCACAGGGACTGGAACAGGGATGGACACCAGGATGGGGATGGGCAAAACAGGCATGCAGGAGGGGTTGCGTGGTCTGCCCACTGACATCACCCAGCCTGGGGGTCTTTAGGCCCATGTCCACTGGTTGAGGGCTGGGTCTAAGTTTCCATCCTGCCTGGCAGGAGCTCCTGTGTCCCAAAGCACCCTCTGGTCATTGCAGGGGATGGACAGAAGGGCAGAGAGTGCAGGGACAGCAGGTGATCTTCATGTGGGTCCAGGGAACTGGGAGATGAATGAAGCAAACCTGCCCCAACAGTAATAGGAAAACCTCTGAGTAGGGCATTGCAAGCTGGAAGTTGCAGAGCAGCCCAGGTTGCACATACCAGGCAAGAGAAAAAGGAAAATGTCAATAAAAGGGCAGGATCATATCAAGGTCAGGGACAGGACATGGGATGGTTAGGACAGCTGATGAACACAGATTGTGACACAGAGGGGGTGGCACTCCCAGTGCTGACTTCTTGTAAACTCTACAGTTATACTTTCAGTTTTCTTGTTAAGCAAGCACAATGCTTCTGGGGTCTTTTTCTGTCCCACTGGCTGCCTTCTTAGGAGGAACCAGGAGCCAAGGAATTTGCAGTTGTGGGGGTAATGAAATGACAGAAATTAAATTAAATCTTATGTCCTGGGCCAACATGGTTCTCAGTGACCTCATGTCCTGCTGTACAGGGCTCCCAGCCTCATCCTCCACTCACACTGATGTTATGGATAAAAATTGAACCAGCTGAATTAAAAATAAAAATAAAATTTTATTACAGCAATCAAATTCTATCTGAGCCAGCCACAAGGAAAAGGACAGTGCTGAGCCCAGGATCGGTGCTGGGTGCCTCAGCAGAGGGTCCCCTTATGCCCACACATCACCCTCCCAGTACAGGCGCAGGTGGTTTTTATAGGGAATATTTTGCTCAAGGCCGGGATTTCAGCGATCAGCCTTTTCTTTCCATTCAAAGTCCCACATATTCATAAAGTCTCTTTTCTCTGCACTGAGTCAAACAATCCAGTGTCTGGAAAGTGATGAATCTCCCTGATGTAGTTGCTGGAACACTGGAGCACAGCATTCAGATGTATCACCCTGGAGGGTTCCAGCTATTCCAATCTCGAGTTGTTGCCAGGATGATCATCACCCTGTGTTCCTGTATCACCTGGAGAAATGACCCAGCTCTGGACAAGCTACATGTATTAACTTGCAAATGAGGTTTTATCAGGGACCAGTTTCCAAATATGTGGGGCAACTCCCTGTGCCAACTTATGCATCCTCTCAATAATATAAAATATTACATACATCATATTATACTGGCACGAATTATATTCGTTACACATAACACTGAGGTCCCAAGGCTTTAGCCTCACAGAGAAGTCTTTGGGTGCTTACGGTGTTGGTGACAGCCACAGTGGGCGTTTGGGAGGGGAAGCAGGAGAACGACCCCAGTATGATCAGGGCAGTGCCAAGGATCAGTGGGGATGAACTGAGGACTCTGTGCAGAATGCAGGCATGAGGACGAGGGTGCAAGGGTGAGGATGAGGATGTAGGGTGACTTTTGACCAAAAGCTGGACCACCAGGCACATCAACCAGTTGTGCTCAGTCCCTGGAGAGCCTCAGGTCTGTGCACTCTGCGTGCAGCCCCAGAGCCCAGCTAGGAATGAGGGAAAAGAACTAATGTTGTGGTGTGTTCTGATTTAAGTTTTTGTTTGCCCATTATTCTCCTCCCTAATCTTCTCCCCTCCCAAGTTGTCAATCCTCCCTATCCCTACCCCTTTCTCCAGAACCTTCTCTGTCAATCTTTTAGTACTTGATATCCCATTTGTATTATTCCCCTCCCCTCTTTTCCCTGATAGGTTTATATAATGTGAGTCCCACCTTAGACTCCTCATTTGCCATGCTCTCATTGGTTAGTTGTCCTATTCCACGCCCTCTAAGTTGTTGTATAAAAACCTCTGTATACCCCTAAAGTCTCGTCTTGGGGGTCTCAGGTCTTGGGGTTGTGGTGTTTCGGCTGTGGTGTTGGGTCCTTGTGTCATCCATCTAATAAATCACCCCAGTTCTACCCGAAGACCCATGTCACTGTTTTCTGTTCCTGCATTGGACCAGCAATAACTGGGATCTGCAGAGCTCGCAGGGAGAATATCGCACCCCTGCTGTCACTGACATCGAACTAACACCCAGCACACGGCCCAGCAGGCTGTGACAGCACACCACGACAAGCAAAGGCTGAGGAAGGGTGGGGAGGGACAAGCATACTGTGAGAGGAAGAGGTTGGCAGACAGGCACTGACACTTTCTCAGGGCACTGTGTGTTTTCTGCCCCATCCAGCAGCCTCTTGCCCCAGCAGTCCCCAGGTAGCATTGTCCTTCACACCCTTTGCACCTCTCCCTGCCCACACAGCTTCTCCCTGTGGTGCTCAGGAGCAGGAGTTAGGAGCTGTGCATTGTGGATTATATAACTAATGAGTCAGAAACTGATGAGCTGCCGAAATGATGGATTAGTGAGGTCTAGTGTCAGACTGGTGCAAAGGGCATTGGGCCCTTGTTTGATTTGTTTTCCTTTCCTAAGGAGATGATAAAGTTTAATGTTCAGATAACATCGTGTGAATATGAACACCAGAAAAGATCGGTATCCTGCTCCACCCGCCAGCTGATCAGGTGACAGCCACTCGGTGGGAGGAACATTGTACAGCATATGCATGTATGCAACAGGCACACCTTCAGTATCTGGCTTTAGCCACCCGGTCTGCCCAGTAGCTCCCCCTGGAGTCCCAGGCCTCTCTCCTGATCCCCCCAGCATCCAGCCTGGATTTTGGACCACTCCAACACTCCAGATTTCTGTGGGGGCTGGAACCCAGCTCTCCCCCATCTGTGCATGCAGCACCGAGACTCCCAACCAGAGCAGTATCTGGAAAGGGGCAGAGAGGAGTGCAGACACATCAGATGAGGCCAGGTAAGAGTGCTGGCTTGCCTGCATGCAGCTTTCACCCCTACCCTCAGCTGTGGGTGCCCCATACTGGGCATGCTGCCTGGAGCCACCCAGCACTGTGAATGTCCCAGATGAGTACGCAGACAAGAAGGCCCCTGCTGAAGCCTGAAGCCATGATCAGGAAGCAGAATTACCCCCCCAACCCCATCTTTCCCAGCCCCTACAAAACACTTCCCTGTTGTCCCCCCGCCAGCGCCTTGCTCTCCCCATGGCCACAGATGGGGAGGCATCCACACATGGCTGCTTGTATCCCAGGGATGCAAGGGACACAGCTCTCTGCCCTGTGGAGAAAGGTTTATTTGGCTCCATGTGGGAGGGCAGCAAGTGTGGGAATGGGGAGCCCTGCCAACAAGTTGCTGGGAGGCACTGGGAAGAAGCAGGGCAAAGTGAGGGTGTGTTTCCTTGCCAGGAGCCCAACTTGGGACTGGGACAGTGGGGAGACTTGGGGATGCAGAAGGACAGCAGGGTGCAGGCAGCAGTGGTCCCTGTTCCCACCACTTGATGCGGGTGAAGATGGAAGAGCTGATCCTGCAGGGAAGATGTGTCAGCAAGGTGGGAGGGAGGGCTGTGGGGTGAGATGGCATGGGCAGAGCTCATCTTGTGGCTTTCCAGGTATCCTTGTGTGACAGAACCTCTTCCTGCAGGAGCCATGTAGTCTCCAGTGTCTCCTTCCCATGGTGATCCACAAAGCACTGGCCACAAAGGCAGTGGTGGAGTCTGGCAAGGTTCAAGAGATGCAGAGCGGGGTGAGAGCCAGCACCTCAAGACAAGGAAGCCTGGGCCACCTGGTCCTGGCAGACAGACCGATACACATGCCCTGGACAGAGAGATGGACTTCCCTGCCACACTGGCCAGGTGGACTGCTTCCACATCACTTGGACACAGAGCTGGGCATCAGCCCTGCTTGGACAGACCGATGGACACCCTCATCACCCTCTTCCAGAAACCTGCCACAGACAAGCTCTTCCACCACCACTTCCCATGGCAGGAATGTGTGCATGTGGCCAATCTGTGCCCACAGCCAGGGTTCCTCTGGGTGCCACAAGGGATTTAGGGCATCAGACAGGGGGGTCCCCATTCCCAGCATGGGCAGTGGATCCCTGTCACTGCTGGAGCTGAGAACTGCCACTGCACAGTGAAGCCAAAGGTGGGGTGTCTCTTGGCACTGGGACACTGCTGAAGCCCTCACAAGGGTTGCACCAGGATCTGCTTGTTGGTGGCTGCCACTGCAGTTTGGTGGGAGCCTGAGAAGGTCCCAGCTGTGTTTGGGGCCAAGACGGTCATATTGGAGACCAGCTCATTTCTCCACAGACCCCACAGGTCACTCTGGGGACCGGGGGTTATGTGGGTGGCTTGGGCAGTCTTGAGACACAGTTCCCACGACCCCCACCAGCCGTGGCATATGTGTCCCATGTCATGGTCCCTCTGTGTGACAACTGAGACCAGCACACGGGCACCAGCTGGGACAGCAGCTCTCCCTCCTTGGGCAGGGCAGGGCAGGGCAGAGCTTGGAGTACTGGGTGCCCCCCTGTAGAAAGTCTAGGAGACTCACAGTACCCCCAGAGACAGCAGAGCCAGAGCTGACAGCCTCCTTGATCATGGACACTGCACTGTGGTATGGTATGGCACAGCTGGACACAAGAGGAGTGGACAAACACTGTGTGCTGGGGTGTCGCAGGACAGCACAGCATGGCATGGTAAAGATATGCAACCCTGTCAGCCCTGCACACTGTGCCCCAGGGGTGACACAGCATGGCACAGGACAGCATGGCACAGCAGTCTGTGTCACAGGACAGCATGGAGTGGCTGTTCTGGTTTGAAAGCAAAACCAGTGAGACTCCAAGTCAGAAACACAATTTATTAGGAAAAGGGAAAAGAAACAAAATACATGCAATAATACAAAAGAAAAACTACTGACAGAGTCAGAATACAGCCTGGCTCTCCTTTGGCCAGCATGTTGGTTGCAGTCCAAATTGCAGCAGCTGCAGTCCTCCTGGGGTGGCAGATGTGGTTCTCTTGGTACAGTGCTCCTGTAGAAGGGTGTAGTCTTCCTCTGAAGGTCCAGTGGAAAACCCCAGCTGTTCCTCTTGGAAACCTGTGGAAAGGCTGCCTCTGTTGTGCCCAAAACCCAGATTATATCCAGTTAGGAATGCTTGGCTCCTCCCTCTGGGCAGAGCATCTCACAATGGGATGTTATAGTACTTTTCAGTCATGCAGTGACATTCAATAGCCCATTATCAGCAGATGTCTCCCCTGAGAGAGGACTGGTTGTGGAAGAGATAAGGAAAACTGCGCACTTAACAGAAGACAACTGCTACACAGATGACAATAGAAAACATCCTGCTCCTCAATCTGGGACAGTGGCACAGTATGGCAGGGCACGGCAGGGCACCAGAAAGCACAGCAGGAGCAGGCAGCCCCCTGGTCACTCCCAGCACCCCACAAGGATGGCAGGGTCAGGGCCTGCAGCCCCTCACCCCCCACCCTGCACCCAGGACAGCACAGCACGGCTTGGCACGGCCAGACTGCCCCACGGCTGCCCTCACCTCCCTGGATGCAGCATCACGGGCCACGAGCAGCGCCAGGGCGAGCAGCAGCAGCAGCCTGGGATGCCCCTGGTGCTGGTGCTCGTGTGTGGTGCCCGGGCTCTGCCCATGCTTGCCTGGCCCCTTTTATAGCAGAGTGTGCTGTGGCCGGGCAGTGGCCTCCGAAACTGGGCCTCCTGCCAAAGGACACTCGGTGGGAGATGGGCAGCTGGCACTGCTCCAGGCTGAACGGAGCGGTGTTCCCCTGTTGCCCTGGGCTGGGGAGAATCCCAAGGATCGTGGCGGGAGGGAGGGCTGCAAAGAAGGACTCTGTGCCATGGAGGGCCACAGCAGGGGACACTATGAGGCCTCAGGTATGGTGACAGAAGGGACCGTAAGACACTATGGAGTGTATTGGGAATGTATGTGCTGAGCCATTACAGAGCTGTCCAGAAAAATTTCATTTGTTACGTGGTGCATAACAAGGCAGTAATTACACACCCAAGAGAGACATTGATTTTTTATTTTAGTTCCACAAGCCTGAGTCCTCAGTGTTATTCCAAAGATCAAGCACACCAACTATCAAAACATGTTGCTATTTACACATCTAGCAAACAAAAGCATTAATGTTCATTGGTTATGAGTTATTTAGTTCTCTTATTAGTTACTATTCTTCCTCCTGTTGGTTAAGAATTCTCTTGCGTGTGATTGCAATTAATTTGCAGGTTCAACTTTTCTCTTCTCTTGGGTTGGTGGGTTTCTTGACTCAGTGGGCCATAAGTCATGATCTACCCCTGCCAGAATTTACTTTCTACCCAGTCAGAGCTGCTTCAGCACTGAGTTTTTCCTGATCTAGTTGTCTTTATTGCTTTTTTGTTATCTTGCCAAGTGTCCTGTAAATTCCTGTAAACTCTTTGTGTGTATTACCAATGCTATATTGTTCATCCCAAATTTTGTAACCTGCACTCAACTCTGAGATTATTAAAGCCCATCAAGACCTAAACCTTAACAAGGCAATTCTACCAAGTAAGATCTCTTTTTAACACCTGGACATAGTGCTGAGCTTGTCTGCTGCTCTCAGTTTCACAGGCTAAATGCCCTTCTTGTTGATTAGGCTTGAAAGCATAAAAAACCTCAAACATCAGGGAACAAAGCTTTTAAAGCAACGTTTTACTTATCCAACATTTTGCAACAACATGACAGGAGACTGTAAATATTTGCAGCAAAGCTTTACTGGGAGAAGCAGGTGGTGCTGCAGGAGCAGGGGCACTCCCCTGGCACTGCTGCTGGCCTGGGAAGCCCCCGATGCCGCTCTCACTCCTGTGACTGCAGACGGGTGAAGACATTGATGCCCACCCTGTGGGGACACACAGGAGATGTAAGGGAGGGACATGACAGTGTCCAAACACACACCCAGCCCTGTATTCCCACACCACATCTGCACCTCGGCAGGACCACAGGGAATGGTATTTTTCCTTTCTGCGTTTTACCCATGCACAAAGCAATCAAGTGAACCTTGCCATCAAAATACGTTATTCTGTGCTTTTAAAACAGGTATTAAACCTGCTTTGCCAACAGGTATAAGAATGGCTCTGCAAGCAATCCAAACCACTTACTTGTGACAGCCCTAACCCCTTGGGGTGCACAAGGGACCTTGTGCAGGGCAGGGACGGGGGACTCACCTGGTGGCTTTCCAGTCATCTTTTATTTTGTCCACATGTGACCTCAGAAGCCACATGGTCCTCAGTTCCTCCTTTCCATTCTCATCCACAAAGCACTGGCCCGTGAATACAGTGATGGAATCTGTGGGAACAGGGCAGGAGGTGGAGCGGAGCATGGCCAATGTGGCAGGTTACTGGCTGGCCCAGCACAGGGAACAGTAGACCCCTGCTGTCCCCAGCCTCTGGGGACAGAGGGGATGGGGAAAGCAGGCAGGAGGACTCAGAGGGCTGGGGTGTCACACTGAGATGGGCAGACAGTGCAGGCTTCAGCCCCTGCTGCCTCTCCTGCACCCTGGGACTGGGAGCAGACAGCAACCGAGGAGCTCCATGGACAAGGATGGGGGAGCTCCAGGGAGAGGAGAGGGAGAGCAGTGGGGATAGTGCAGGGTAAGGCAGAGAATCAACAAGGACACTGCAGGGAGGGCAGAAAAACTTCAAGAGCAGAAGAGTGAGAGCAGGAGAGGTCCAGGATACCATTAGGAAGCTAGAAAAGAAGTACCTGAAAAGCTCCAGTTGACGGTGAAGCCAAAGGTGGGCTGGCCCTTCTGGTTAGGGCTCTTCTGCAGGGATCCCTGCAGTGGTGACAGCTTGATCTCTTTCGAGGTGGCTGTCACAGCCGTGTGGTAGGAGCCAGCAAAGACACCATTTCCATTCACAGTTGTGATGGTCATGTTGGAGCCCAGGTCATTCACCCAGCGCCCGACCAGGGAGCACTGCAGAGCAGGGAATTCAGCACTGGTGCCTGCAGCCACAGCCCCCTGCCCTCCCCACCCTCTGCATCCCACCATCACAGTACCTTTTTTTTCACAGAGAGGCTGTGAGCCCCCAGGGCCAGGAGGAGCACAAGGAGGAAGGCAGCTGCTTTCACCATCGCTGCAGTAGGCAGACAGCTGATGTACCTGGGGATGTGCTCCTTGCAGGTCTCTGCTGATGCTCCTGCTCCCTCTCCTTTTTATTGCTGACAGGGCTATGAGTGGCAGCACTGGCCAGGACATTGTGCAATCTGGGTGTTTCCAAATCTGTGGTTCCGAGCCGTAAGAGGGAGTAATTGCAGCAAACATTCCCAGAAATGAGTGCTGAAAATGTCCATTCCTACTCCTCTGTCACCTTGCAGGGAGGGCATGGCTCCTGCTGATCAGTGACTGGTGGTAAATGGTCGGAGGGGAAAACCCCTCTCTGGAACTGTTGTCCATTCTGTCACCCATTTGCTACACCAGTTCTGTGTCCAGGTTTTGAGACTCCTTAAGCTTGGTGAGCTCAGGATTGACTGCAGTACACAGCTCACCCTGCCCTTCCTCACCAGGCATGCTCATGCAAACTCACCCACCATCCAGATTGTTTTGGGACTCGGCTTTCTCATCCTCCCCAGCCCCATACTGATGGGTCTAAAAAGGTCTAATGTGCACATTAAGCTGTTGTTTTTACAAACTTGTTTGTGTTGGAAGGGAATTATTTACTTAATGAAAAGCCAACATTCACTGAATATCTGGGATGTTGGATCTTAATAGAGACAAAACTTGTATTTACACACGTATTCTTAGATAACTGTAAGAACATATTTTCATAATTTCCCTTACGTTATACTTGTTGCTGGCCAAGGAGGCTGAAGTGAATGGACTCACCCCAAAGTTTCTCACCCATTTCTAAATGGTTTTCAAAAGTCTCCTAAAATACATGTTTTCATTCTCGAGTCATCATAGCAAAAGTTGATGGAGCCTATTCACCAGAATACAATACTTTTTGTAAATTGGAGACAAGACAGTTCTTTGCAACATTTATTTTTGTTTTTCCTCAGTCTTTGCTTTCTTTTAAATTTCACATTTGGGCCCTGGTTTCTCTCTGACAGTAAAACTCATTGCTATCTAGGCTGGAGAGCACTGTGCTTCAGCTGCTGGCATCTCCATAGCCCCTTCTCCTCCCTTCAAGAGCCCTACAGCCCTCTTGCACCCTGCCTGGAAGAAATCCCTGTCTAGAGAACTGGCTGGTCGTCACACATTCCTGCTGCAGTGTTTTCTGTCTCAGAAATCAACTGCATAACAAGGTGTGTTTTCCCACATAGCTGCCATTTGCTCTGGTTTTGGGCAAGCAGGTGCTGCCCAGAGCTTTACCAATGTTTGGGGTAACAAGTAAGGTCAGTCAGGGAAGGCTATGGGGAGCAGGAGGGGCAGACATCACCCTTCCTCCATCACCCCCTCACCATCACCACATTTTAGGGGGCTCCTGCTGGATCCTGCGGATGGACAACACAAAGTTTCCATCCTGCTGATGGCAGCCCACAGCTCCTTCGCAGGTGTGGGTTTATTTTAGCATCACACAAAAATATTTTTATTTGTTCACATAATCTTTATTTTTTCTGTACTTAACAATCCCTGTGGCTCATCTGGCAGGTTCAAGGTCCAGCTCAGTGCTCAAGCAGGTAGATTTCTTGGCTGATCTCAGCTGAGTGCTGAGGTGTCTTCTATGGGGTTTGCACCTTCCAAACATCAGAGAGTAAAGTTTGGCTTGGAGCTGGCAATCAGCAGGATTAAATTCTGCAATGCCATGCCTGAACCCTGGCACAGCAGGCAGTGGGGGCAACCAGCAGGCCAGGAAGAAATGCAAAGCAGGAAGCACTGAAGAAGTTAAAAATTATCACTGTTGAAAAACAGTGGTGCAGGCAAAATGTCTGTGACCAGGGACTGTCCTCTCAGCCCTCAGCTACATCCATGCAGAGGCTGACGAAAGCTGAGCCTATCAGATGCAAACTTATTGAGGTGATACAGCCCAGAGTGAAGGAGAAATCAGATATATCCCTTTATAAAGACTGAACCCAAATTTTTGGAAGGCACGTTGCCTGGGTTAAGGAACAGTATTGATGCATCAAAGCAATACCAGTCCAGCCAGAAGCTGTGCTGTCTTCAGTGCCTGCTCTTGTTCCTTGCCAGCTGGATTGGGATATCACTGCTATTGTTGGAAGCTGCCAACAGGATACAGATGGAGGTGGGAACCCCAGGTGTTCCTCCCTCATGTGCTGGCACTCCTTTCCCACTAACCTTGCCACGGTGACCCAAAGGGAGTGGGTCTCCGTCCCTTTCCATTGTCAGTGGGCTTTGCTGTGTGAGAGAATAACACCAGCTGCTCTGGGGGTGCTGCACCCAGGACAACCTGTTCTTCCTGGATATTGTTACTTGTCTACTTACATGGTTGCAGGAACACTCCCCTGTGGAGTGAAGAAAAGGCCATTTGTCACCCACTGACAGCCCTGGGCCACTGTGGTGATCCCTGGCCTGCTCCAGCTCCCAAGACAGAAAAGTGGGGGAAGAATGCTCACAGCAAATAGGATAGGCTGCTTCCCATCCCAGCCCTAAAGGCGGCTAAGGACTTTGGGAACACTGAGTTCTAAAGTGGACAGAAAGAGCTGATAGTCCTTCCTGTGGTGTCCTCAGGACCCTCCTGCCCTTCTCTGTGATGTCCTCAGAGATGCCCTGCCCTACCTGTGGTGTTCACAGAGCTCCACTGGCCCCTCTGTGATGTCCTTCATCTCTTTTTCTGACCAGCTTTATCTGAGATCAGGTCAGGTCCGTGTTCTTGCCTTGTGCAGGTCCCCTGTGCATCCCCATGGAGGACCAGGCTGTCCTTTGCCATGGATGTCCCTTGCAGGAGGCTCAGCCCCCTCTGCTATAAAAAAGGAGCTGAGTGGGCGTAGGGCAGCAGTGCAGGCAGAGCCCAGGCACCACGCACAGCCACCACTGCCATGGGGGCCCCCGGCTGCTGCTGCTCGCCCTGGCCCTGTGATGCTGGATCCAGGGGGGTGAGGGCAACCTTGGGGCAGAGTCTGGCTGTGCCGAGCTGAGCCGTGCTGTGCTGTCCGGGTGAGGAGCTGCAGGCCCTGGCTGTGCTGTGCCATGCTGCCTAACAGGCTGTATGCTCTTGCTGAGCCCCGCAATGCTATCCAATGCAATCCCACACCATCCCATCTCATTCCAGTAATAGCCCATGATGCAGCATCCATGACCATAGGAATTTCCAGCTCTGGCTGTGCTGTATCTGTGGGTACTGTTGATGACTTACCCCTGGTATAGGGGAGTACCCAGCACTCCTACCTTTGTCCTACTCTGCCTGGGGAGGGAGAAGTGTTGTCCCAGCTGGTGCTCATGCCTTTGCTCCCTGGTGCCACAAGAAGAGGCCATGCTGGCCCCACACATGCAGGACCCATGTCCCACAGCTTTGGCAGGCTGGAGAAGCAGCTGTGACTCAGCAGTTACCAAGGCATCCATCAAAACTCACAGTTCCCAGCATTGTCTGGGAACACAACAGGAAGGGCAGTAGACCTGCCTAATCCCTATGCCTCCCTAACCAGGATGGTGCAACCTTCAAATGTGGCACTGGCACAGAAAGGAGGAAAAGGAAGCAAGGTGCCCAGCCCTGGGCAGAAGGACACGGGATTTGGTTAACTGGCACAGCTACTCCCCACAGAGGTATTTTCTGGCTCCTGGCCTTACCACGCCTTGCATGCAGCAGAAAAGAAAGCAAGGGTCAGGTCTTTCATGCCATTATAGGTGGAGAAGTGGGTAAGGAGGCTCATCCTACTCCCTTCAGCAAAACTCCACAGGAGCCAGCCACCATTGGGACTTGTCCCCTCCCTTCCTCCCTAGCCCTTCAGCCTAGTCCAGGAAGATACAGGGGAATTGCATGAGTTCCCTCTTCCAGTTTGGACCTGTGCCAAAGAAGACACCAAAGAAGGACAAGAGTAGACAGTTGGACAGATTTATTAAGAACTGAAGTGATTTATCCCCTTTAATGTGCTCCACTGCCTGCCCCCGGCACCAGCAGGGAGGGGGCCATGGTACCAGACCAGGACCTGCTTCTTGGGCTCAGATTGTCACTGTCCGGAGAGCCGGGTCTCCACTGGGGATTGTATCTGCCACAGACCCTCCTGGGGCAGAGCCAGTCAGTATGTGCAGTGGCACCCCAGGACAGCTACAGCATCCGTGTGCCTGAGTGCACCACTCCAATATCCTCACATACACACACACACATTCACCCACACCTTTTTTTTTCCCTGCAGGACAGCTGCCCACCTTAGCCAGCCCAATGACTGCAGGAGAGAGCTTTCCTGTACTCCTGGGCAAGGTACCAGCTGCAGTTTGGGATGGCTGGGGAACCCGCAGGCTTTCAGAGTCCCATGTGCACAGAGATGGGGGGCTTTGAGCTTGGTGCTCATGTGTACTCCTCAGGCTCAGTCTAGAGCAGAAATAAATTTTCCATGAGGAAAAGGCCAACACTGCTCACTGGGTCAATTGTTCCTAAATAGCACCTCAGGAAAATAACAGGAGGAAGTGGAAAAGCCTCTTTTCCCAAAAAGATTTTTAAAAATTCTGCTTGGTAGAATGATGTTGAACTACATTCCACCTTCCTTCTGGGGAAGCTGATAGCTCATCCAACTAGTGCATCTCCAAAAACAGATTCTCTCCCACAGTCCCTGGTTAAAGCCCACTCAGCTCTAGAAATTTTGTTTTGGGGCCAACCAGACCACCCTCATCAAGTTTTTGGTTGCCAGTGCTTGTTCCTTAGGGTAAGGACTATTTGAGGACTGCACTTTCTCCTTCATTGTACTGTTCTCTCAGCCTCTGCACCAGCTACAGGAAGCATGACAAGGCCTTCAAAAGGTGGTACACTGGACAAAGGTGGACAAAGGTGGACAAAGGACTGTCCAGGATCAGGAGGTGTTTTTCCATCAAAGGCAAAAATGATGGCCAAGGCAGTCTGGCAACATCAGAATTTATCTTGCAGCTGCAAAGTACATGTTTTGGGTACTGTTAGGCTTGTTTGTGTAACTACTGGGAATTTTGGGAAAAGAAAGTACAAGAAAATTCTGCTTCAGGTCAAGGAAAAAACAAAAACAGCTTAGTCTGAGTCAGTTCCAAAGTACTTTAATCCTTTCAGTTTTGAAATCGGATGATGATGCAAAGGATTGTGACCTAGAGTGGGCTTGGAGAATGCAGCAGAAGTTCCAAGAAGAACTTGGAGAACAAGAAGAGACAGCCTGGAGATGAAGAGGTCAGACTGAGGTACACATGACCCCTGGTGGTTTTCTGTGTCCAGTTTCAGGTACCCAAAAATTTTCTCTCAAGGGAAGGTGAAAGACTTCTGAAAGGTCAGCTGTGCTTGCTGGTTAAACACTTATTGCAGGACATTATTGGGAAAAAGTAAAAACCTCCCTCTGACTATAAGGGAAAAAATCATCCAGGTAAGAATTAAAAATATTTACCAGAATAGATGGAAGTATCACACTGAGCAAGCTGTTGTCAAAAGAGAAAAAGAGAACAAAGAAACACAAGGTAAACAAAAAGAAACCTGCAAACCTACAAAAAAAAAAGAAGCCAAAACCAACCATCCAGCTGCTGAGCATAGAAACAACCTGCCAGCTCAGCAAAAAGCATCAGAGCAGAAGCACAGTGAGGACTACAAGGAGATTAAAATCTCTTGCACACAGCTGAAAATAAATACAGTATTTGCAACACTTCCATTATTGACAATAAAGACAGGAAATGTCACTGCAGAAGTCATGGAGTAATCACAGTGTCAAACTGCAAGAGAGACAAGAGCCATGAGGCTCATCAGCACAGCCTGGGGACGTGGCAGACACTTATTCTCAGTCTGGTGACACCAGAGTCAGGGGAAGC